GTAAATTTCCTGAGGAGAAAATTGTTGCGGGAACTTTTGTTAACGGGAATTTTTTTGCTGATTATGTAAAAAAACTGCAAAAATCGCGAAGCATAACTATGCCACATGGTAGTTAACCATCTGGTAACTCAATCCTGTAGCAGGGCACATACACCGGTGTTTTTACACTCTTTTATAATTTTAAAAGATTAGTGAAACAGGAAAAACAGCTGGCAAACTTTATAGTTTCAAACTTTAATATTTGATTACAACTGCTGTGGGTAAAAACCACTACAAATCGTATTTTACGTAGGATTCCGAAGCACTGATCTTGAAGAAACTCAAGGAAAAAAATAATCTTGATTTTACACAGCGTGAACTCCAAGCATCAAAAGTTACAATTCAAGTTTAATGTAACTTCGTCATAACGGACTCAGAGGCTATCCAAAAACAAAAAACAGATCATTTCTTGATACTTTTTTTTTCTAGACTTTCTATCACTTTGTCGATTTTCATCGAAACAAACAACTTGCACTTTATTTGTTTGTTTGTCATATAAACAAAGTTTCCAGATTGAAAAGATTTGGCGCTAATCCTAACCAAAAAATACAAATTACATATGAAATACTGTAGTGGAGTTCTTTTTTTTTCAACTCTGGGGCTAGAATTACCCCCGTATAGTATTAATTGTTCGATTGAGGGGACGGAAAAGATTTTTTGCTCGAATAATCGGGAGGTTCGAAAAATCGAGGGTTAGAGAAATATACGGATTACAGTGTGCTCAGTAACAAGTCAAAAACAGTTGAAAAAAAACCTTATAACGTTACTCGGGTTTTCATTAATCCTTGTCTTCTTCTGTAATCTCCCTCTTAAAACCGGCCAAAAATGACCGAGAATCTCGGCACACTTACAAGATGTCAAAAACTAATTAATGAGAACTGACTGAAATAAAATATTAGTCTATTTTATTTCGTTTCCTCTTCGCTTGCCACGTGCTTTGGTTGTTTAAGATCTTGAATGACGAATTCGTTGTAGTTTCAAGTCGAGCCGGCTGCGTAGTAACACTTACTGTGGTATTGATTGAAAATTCTTGTGACGTAACAGGCATGGCTGTGGTGGACTGGGTTGGAGCCGCGGTTGTTGGGGTTGGGCAATGTCGGTGGCATTCTGAAATCTTGTTGTTATAAACTTTCTTTAAGGAATCCCTGAGAACATAACCAGTAGTACTTCACTTTAGAATCAGACCCTGTCGTTTATATGGTATACCCGTATCATATCTTGTCACGCCATATCCTTTTGTGTCATGAAATTTCATGTCACCATTTAAGGTGACAGTGTCACGGGTGACTGTCACAAGTTCTCTTTCCTACACTAAATTTCCATGT